AAAAAAAAAAAAAAGCTATTATGAAAAACATCTGACACACAATTAAAACTTTATTTTTGATTTGTGACATAACTTAAAAAACTTAGAACTGTTTACTGGTTAATTATTTTTTTGAGACATAGTCTTACTTTGTCACCTTCAGATTTTTTTTTTTTTTTACAGTTTTTTTGGCTAGGGCTGGGTTTGAACCCACCGGGTACATGGGGCTGGCGCTCTACTCCTTTGAGCCACAGGCGCCTCCCTCACTTTGTCACCTTCAGTAAAGTGCCATGGCATCATAGCTCATAGCAAACTCCAACTCTTGGGCTCAAGTGATTCTCTTGCCTCAGCTACTGAAGTAGCTGCAACTATAGGAACCTGCCATAACGTCTGGTTATTTTTAGAGATGGAGTCTCACTCTGGCTCAGGCTGGTTTCCAACTCCTGAGCTCAAGCAATCCACCCACCTTGGCCTCCCAGAGTGCTGGGATTACATACGTGAGCCACGTGCCTGGCCTGTTTACTGGTTAATTTAGACAAATTACTTTTACTAAAAATAATGAAATGACAAAAGATTAGAACATAAAGCTGTAGATCACAAATGCAATTAAAACCAAGATAAATATCTCTACTGCAAAATGACTGTGGATAACTAACTTAAAGCAATATTCATACAAAATGTTATAATGAAAAAGTTAAAAGACCCTTAAATTTTATTACATGTACCAAATCTTACTCTGCCTATAGGAAAATAGAATGTTTGGAATTACCAAATAACTAGATACAGTCAGTTATCATCAATTGATGAATGGATGTATAAAAGGTAGAATGTTATTCAGCCACAAAAGTGAATTAAGCACATTGATCAGTACTACAGCATGGACAACCCCTGGAAATACCACACTCAGTGAATGAAGCCAAGTACAAAGGAGAGGGGAGTGTGTAGTGGGTCAGGGTTCTCACCGGGGTGAGAAAAATGTTCTAAACAAAATATTGGGGATGGGCTCAGCGCCTATAGCTCAACCAGCTAAGGCGCCAGCCACGTACACCTAAGGTGGCGGGTTCGAATCCCCAGCCCGGACCCGCCAAACAACAATGACGGCTGCAACCAAAAAAAAAAATAGCCGGGCGTTGTGGCAGGCACCTGTGGTCCCAGCTACTTGGGAGGCAGAGGCAGGAGACTCACTTGAGCCCAGGAGTTGGAGGTTGCTGTGAGCTGTAATGCCACGGCACTCTACCCAGGGGGACAGCTTGAGGCTCTGTCTCAAAAAAAAAAAAAAAAAAAAAAAAAATTGGGGATGGTTGCACAGTTCCATCAAAATACAAAAAGCCCCACTGAATTGTATCCTGTGATCAGGTGGATTTTATAATGTGCAAATTTATCTCAATAAAAATGATGAAAACACAACATTGGATTCCACTGCTTGTTAATTAAGATTGTACTAGATGGTCCCATTAACATGGTAAATGTCCTCAGGTCCCAGGGGTCAAACTTATATCATTTGAAAGTGACTGTGAGGAAACTGAGACAAGAAGTGTTTAACACTTGCTGCTTTCAGGACTAAGACAGTTGTCACAGGGATGGGTACTAAATAGTTCATGTGAATAGAAAAATGAGTCAGCTGGGTACAGCTGGTATGTGCCCGTGGTCCCAGCAACTCCAGACTGGGCATGAGGAAGGAGGATAACTTCAGCCCAGAAGTTGGAAGGTGCAGTGAGCTCTAATCAAACCACTATAATCCAGCCTGGGCAACAGAGTGAGACCCTGCCTTTACTAAAAAAAGAAACAAAGAAGGAAAAGAATCTAATTGGGCTGATTGATTTGGTGATAAGGATGGCTTTACTAAGTTACATAGTAGTCATCTCCCATTATTGTAAAAAGCGAATTTACAGCCACAAAGTTTGGACAGAACTATATTTAATAGTATATCATGGTAACAACACTTTGTCAGAAACACCACCTTAGGAAAGGTGTACTGAACCTTCATAGTATTTTGACACCCTAGTATATTGGATACATGGTACAGGATTCTTATTGAAAAGCTAACAGACCATTAAAAATAATTTTTGATGATAGATCATTATGTCATTTTGGCACATATGTCAGAAGAAATATAAATAATTGAGTGTTACTGCTATGTAAAGTATCTTCCACTGCTACCTACGTGTTTACGTAAGCAACGTTTCTTAGTGCTTACAACCATACAAATAAGAAGTATGAGCTGACTCAATTTGTCCAACTTTATATTTGTTCATATATCTCATGTTGTTAGATATATAAACTAACTTAAAAATAAAAAATCCTATCAAGAGATATTCTCAATCAAAATTTGTTTAAAAATTATTTAAAAAATATTTTCAAACTGGTTCGGCGCCTGTGGCTCAAGTGGCTAAGGTGCCAGCCACATATACCTAAGGTGGTGGGTTCAAATCCAGCCTGGCCCGCGAAACAACAATGACGGCTGCAACCAAAAAATAGCCAGGCATTGTGGCAGGCACACCTGTGGTCCCAGCTACTTGGGAGGCAGAGGCAGGAGACTCGCTTGAGCCCAGGAGTTGGAGGTTGCTGTGAGCTATGATGCCATAGCACTCTACCCAAGGAGACAGCTTGAGGCTCTGTCTCAAAAAAAAAAAAAAAAATTCTCAAGCTGTTGAAATCAATTATGTACTACTAATGACTGCAATAATCAATATAGATAATCCCCTATGTACAACAGTTCAACTTAATTATTTTCCAATTTTAGGGTGGTGCATTCAGCAGAAACCATACTTTGAACACCCACACAACCATTCTGTTTTTTCACTTTCACTGTACATGATTCAAAAAATCACATGAGCTATTCAACACTTTATCATGAAATAGGCTTTGTGTTAGATGATTCTGTCCAACACTGGCTAATGTCAGTGTTCTGAGCACATTCAAGGTAGGCTAAGTCAAGCTATAACGTTTGGTAGGTCAGGGGTATTCAGTGAATTTTGCATGATACTTTCCACTTATGATGAGTTTATTGGAACATAACCCATAGTAAGTAAAGGAGCATTATACAGAGAATTATGGTATAGAAAATTAACAAACAGGCTTGGTGCCTGTAGCTCAGTGAGCAGGGCACTGACCACATACACCGAAGCTGGCAGGTTGGAGCCCAGTCCAGGCCTGCTAAACAACAATGACAAATGCAACCAAAAAACAGCCGGGCATTGTGGTGGGCATCTGTAGTCCCAACTACTTGGGAAGCTGAGGCAAGAGAATCACTTAAGCCCAAGAGTTTGAGGTTGCTGCGACTCCACAGCATTCTACTGAGGGCGACATAGTAAGACCCTATCTCAAAAAGAAAAAAAAAAACCAATTTTAACTTATATATTTTTCTTAGAAGTATGATAAAGTAAGCAATAAGATTCAATGCATAAAAATTACCTTATGATAAAATTCTGTGTGGGGAAATAAAAGGAAAATATGAGTTTAAAGAAAAAAATGGAAAAATGTAAACTATTGTAGAGTTTAAGTTTGGTTTTTTTTTGGGACAGGGTCTCACTCTGTCACCCTGGGTAGAGTGCTGTGGTGCCACAGCAACCTCAAACAGCTACCTGGGAGGCTGAGGCATGAGGATAGCTTAAGCCTGAGTTTGAGGTTGCTGTGAGGTATGACACCACAACACTCTATCCAGGGTGACACAGTGAGACACTGTCTCAAAAAAAAAGTAAAGACAATTCATGTCATTTAACTATGGGCATTTGCCAAATACTGTAAGTGATCTAAAAGAATAGTAAATTGCATCTGGCATAAACTAAAGGGTAAAAGCTAAATGGAGTGCCTATTAGAAAAAACAAACTCATATAGATCAATGTATAATAAATACTATTTATAGAAGCCAAGTTCTGCATATAGGTTATTTATTAGGACCTAAAATATAATATGACATCTTAAATACAATATTATAATGTATTTATTCTAACTATGTAAGCCAAATATCTTTTTCCTCCCAAATTTAATATAAACACTCTTCTGTAATGAGATTAAATTAAAATATTCTTGCACTTGAGCATGATTATTAGTGCTATAAAATAATGCTATTAGCAACAATATAGTTTAGGCTTGAACCAAACAACTTAAAGGCTGAAGGAAACCCAAACTGCTTAAATCTCTGTTTTAGATCAGATAGTTTAGAAGCTTCCAGTTTAATCCCCATGAGGCCTCAGCCTCATGACCCTTCATAAGGAACTTTCAGTTCTTTTCATAAGCCTGAGAGAAACCATTACTGCTTTACTGCTTACACTATTTGCAGAGGTCTGTACTTTCTTTTTTTTTTTTTTTTTT